AATTACATGGCAAACCATGTCGACTGGCATTTTTAGCCATCAGATCAGCTGTTTCATTGCCCTTGATGCCACTATGACCTGGAATCCAAGCTAAGGAAACCTGTATGCCCTTGAGATGACATCTATACAATGTGTGTTTAATTTTGAGGATCAAGGGTATCTTATATTTACTTTGGAATTGGTTTGACAAAATTGCTAACAAACAACTTTTGGAGTCGGTAAGAATAACTGACTTATTTAAGTTGTGTGCTTCTATATATATTAAAGCTTCATGAATTGCCGTGGCCTCGCCAGTAAAAGTGGAAGAAATAGAAGGGCATTTAAAATTAAGAATTATTTTGAATCTGGGAATCCAAACTGCTGCTCCAGTACAACTTTCATCTGACTTTTTGGAGGCATCAGTGTATATAATAAGCCAGCCTTTCCATAAATTATCTATGACTCTACTTACTTTACTATTTGCTATAGGGCAATCTTTCTCAATACCAAGGTCGAGGTGGATATTTGGTTGGAAAATGATTGCATCATATGGGATATCAAATATGGGGCAGGACTTGAATTGTGATACTGGGTATGGTAGGTGGAGTAATGTTACCAAACTGTTGGATAAGCAGGGAGATTCTTTATGAGTCCAGTAATGTTTTGACGAAATATATTCCAAAAGGAGGTGTAGTTTAGAAATGAGAGGGTGGGAAGAGAGTTGGTAGATTTTAAAAAAGTATCGGTCCGAAAGATATTGCCTTCTTAGATAAAGGGGAGGGTCCACACATTCAACTTGGAGAGCATTTATTGGGGAAGATTTCATTGCCCCGATGATTATACGAAGGCTTTTGGATTGAATCCTGTCTAGGATCTTTAGGGAAGACTTATTGCACGGTTCCAAAACAAAACATCCATAATCTAAATGACTACGGATAAGGGCATTGTACAGTATTTTTTGGGAGAATGGGTGGGAGCCCCACCAGACACCCGATAAAGCGCGAAGAATGTTTATATTTTTTTCACATTTTTTTGAGACATAGTTGATGTGATGAGAAAAGGCTAGTTTGGAGTCAAGAATAACTCCTAAAAATTTTACATTCTCCCTAATTGGGATAGGTTCATTATTATAGAGAATGTTGATTTCAGGGACTTGCCTATGGCGAGAGAAGATTACAACACTGCTTTTGGGAACAGACAAAGACAAACCATGATCAGTTAACCAATCCTGTAAATAAGACATTGATATATTCAAGCGAGAACATGCTGCAAGGAGGTTATCTAGGGAAATATATATAGCTATATCGTCTGCATATTGGAGGATGTTACAGAAGGAGTTAACAGAAAGTTCTAAATCATAAGTATAGATAGAATAGAGTAAAGGACTAAGTACTGAGCCTTGTGGGAGACCCTTCCATACAATTCTTGGCGGGAGTAGAGAATTTTGACTGTCAATATAAATGGATCTAGAAGAGAGAAAGTTAGAGACAAAATTTACTATCCTCACTGGAATACTCAGATTAAGCATTTTTTGCCTGAGCACAGGAAGAAGTACATTGTCATATGCAGACGAGATATCTAGGAAGACTCCAACAAGGTATTCATGTTTAGAGTAAGCTATACGAATATCAGTAACTAGAGTACTAATGCTATCCATGGTGCTTAAGCCCTTTCGGAATCCAAATTGGCTTTTTGCTAAAAGATTTTTGCTTTCAAGAAACCATTCTAAACGATTTTTTATTAGGTGTTCAAGGATTTTGGCCATGGTGCAAGAAAGAGCAATAGGGCGGTAGCTTGCGGGATCAGTGTAGGGCTTACCTGGTTTGTGAATAGGTAAGATAACTTGGGATTTCCACTCTTCAGGAGGAATACCGGACATGTAAATATAATTCAAAATAGAAAGAAGATGGGCTTTAGTAGATTCACTGCTATTAGTAATAAAAGAATAAGGGATTCCATCGATTCCTGGTGAAGAGTCTTTAAGGACATTAAGAACAGAATATAACTCCTCATAAGAGAAAGGAGAGTCAAAACTGTGTTGATAGTGCAGGGACTGTGATTGGAATACTATACATTCATTGTAAGATGGTACTGAAGGAGGAGCAAGTTTACTAGCAAAATTTTCTAGCCAATAAGACTGATCATTAGAATTTGTGTTTTCAGGGGCCGAAACTGAACATCGGAATTTTTTTATATTTTTCCAGACCAGTGATGGATGAGTCCTAGGCGACAGTGACTCACAGAATTTAAGCCATCCAGCCTTTTTCTTTTCAGACAGTAATTTTAATGTTTCAGCAGCAGTTTTTTTATAAAAATTATAGTTATCAAAATTCATTGAGCGGGAATATCTTAGTTCAGCTTCCTTTCTCTTCTTGCATGCTACAGAACAATCTTGATCCCACCAAGGCGGTGAAGGAGCATTATTTTTATAAGGTTTTTAATGGGAATTGTCTTATTTGCAGCAGATAAAATAGCATTTTTGAAAGTAGAATACACCTGAAGAACATTCTCTTTCTGAACCGTAGGGAGGGATGAAAGTTCTTCGTCTAGAACTGTGGAATACAGATGCCAGTTTGCTTTGGATGTGTTATATTTTAACCTAGGTTTGAATGGAACATTGACTGTATAGGAGTTAGGAGGATTGATAACAATAGGAAAGTGATCACTGCCATGGGAAGTGGGTAATATTCTCCAAGAAAGAAGGGATGACAGGGCAGGAGAACAGAGTGACAGATCTACTGCACTTTTAGGATTTTGGAGGGGGGAAACTCTACGTGTAGGTGAACCATCGTTAAGGAGGCAGAGATCTAAATCATCAATGATGTCTAAGAATGTAGAAGACCAGGGATCACAAAAATGGGAACCCCATAAAGTATGGTGCATATTAAAATCACCAAGAATTACCATAGGAGGAGGGATGGAGGATATAATCCTCGTAAGTTCCGATAAGATATTTAGATTAGGTTCGGGAATGTAAATAGAAAGGAAAGAAATGTTATGAGCTCTAACTGCAACAGCATTAATTGAAGGACTATGAGAAGGAAGGGAAATTAATGTATAAGTAATTGATTTTGAGATAAGAATGAAAGAGCCAGCATGACCATCACTTCTATCATCCCTGAGACATGAATAGCCTGAGACCCTAAAATGGGAGCCAGGCTTTAGCCATGTCTCCTGGATGGCTAGGATAAGGGGATGGTATTTATTAATAAGATATGTTAGTTCGTTTTTCTTATTTTTAATGCTCCGGCAGTTCCATTGAAGTATTGGAGGGAAGGTTATTTGTTAAGGAAATGAGCTCAGTAAGTTTTTGGCGGAGGGCGAGTGGGAGATCCATGTCGCTGAAACGGGAAAGCATACTTATAAGCATGGAGACCATCAGTTCGCAGAGATTATCATTAGGGGAAATACTTCGCCCTATTATAGCACAACCATTAGTAGATGAAGAAGGAGGGGTATTTATTATTGCCTCATGGGCAGATTTATCATATCCATGACTAGATGCTGGATTTGGCGAAAGTCTTGGAGTGAATGTAGTCTTCCTGTAAGAATGAGATTGTGAGGGGACAACTGAAGGTAAAGGAGGGTTAGAAATAGGACAGGAAGTCTGATGCTCATATGAAGGAAGGGTTCTAGCAGTATCTGCATAGGATCTACGGACTTGAGGGAAACGAGCAGATGCTTCTAGATAGGAAATATTTTCCTGTGACATTGTGAGTTTGATAGATCGCTGCCTAGAGTGTTCAGGGCAGGAGGGATCTTTAGCTGTGTGAGATCCTGAACAAAAAAGGCAAGTGGGAGACTGTCTTGTGCATGATATACCCTCATGATTTTGAGCACACACAAAACAACGGGAAGATGATCTACACTGTGAGGTAACATGTCCAAAACGGCAACATTTGTGACATTGAATAAGTGGTAAAATGTAGGGCTCAACGGGCATTGAGTTGTAAAAACAATAAATATTAGAAGGGAGTTTCTGGCCGGAAAAAGTTAAAAGGACTGTTTGAGAGGGAATCCACACAGTGCTTTGGTTTTCATTAAGTGATTTTCTATTAAATCGGCGAGCTTTAATGATTGAGCCAAAACCAGCTGGGACCTCGATTGATGAAATGAGTTCCTCTAATGTCCATTCTACAGGGACCTGCCTCACTATTCCCATGCGAGTGATACTATAAGAAGGGATTACAGCATCATATTTAGCACCTGCAAGGGCTGGGTTCTCAATAAAGCAATTTGCATCTGCTGCAATTTTAAATTCGACTGAGATTCTATTGCGCCCTACTCGCTTAACACCGTCGCTAACAACATTTTTAATATTATTATGGTAGAGAAAATGACCAAACTTTATCAGTTTTAAAACTACTCCAGATGATAAATCATCTACTATCTTACTTACATGTACAATAAAGGGCGCACTGTCGTTATTAGAGTATTTATGTTTTTTTTCAATGTAGTCAGGATGAGTATAAGAGGTCTGAATAGATGGTACAGGTTGAGATGGATCTGTAATTAATCTTTTCTGTGGATGAACTGAGTTATTGGTTGCTTGCGATCTTTTACGATTCGACTGATCGATCTCGATAGGCATATTTTTCTTTTTGGTACCCGCATGGGAGTCACATGTAACCCCGTCGGGATCGGGAGGATCTTCCTCCATTTTATTTTAACTACTTACATATATATACAACAACACAATTACTAAATACTTACGGATTTATAACTACTAAAACCAACACCACCAGAAATAGTAAACAAAAAAGTAAATCAACAGCTCTCAGAAGTACGAAATAGCCTAAAACAGAACGACACTTGTACACCTCACACCATCCGAGCACGCTCTCCAACATCCTCCTACATCTCATACTAAGATTAGCCATTATAAAATAACAAACAGTTTTTAAAGCAGTGTATTGAAAACAAATTATTGTTTCACTTACATGTTTACATGCGTCCATAAATACATAAAAGGTTTGTAATTATAACAAATTATACTAATTAATTTTTACACTATCACATGGTCAATATTCAGTCAATGAGCTAATTTTGTTCAGAGGCCAAACTCGACAAACTACTCGACTTCGTATCAGACCCTGTGGGACTGGACCATATAATCTTGAATCTGATGAATTTGTTGAGTTATCCCCTTCGAGCCATACATGTCCCCTTGGTACAACTTGGCTTCGCTTAGGAAAGTGACCTTTAACTTTATCACCTGGTAATCCAGTTATTCTTTTACAGATATTTTGCTTTGGATTTGAAGGACTTTTAGCTATAACAATATCTCCACGTCGCAATCTTTGTAACCTTGGTGTTAAATGTTCGGTCAATAAAATATTGTTTGATTCCAAAGTTGGCTCCATTGATGGCCCAGAGCACTAAAAATGACATATAGGGATTAAAATATACATATATAGAAACATCGTTTAACAATAAAAAATAATCTTAGTTTAAAACAAAAAATTCGAAAAAAGAATATTTACGTAAACATTTTACCATTACAAAATCTCCAATATATTCAAAGGTACAATGGGTAATACAAGCATACTGTATAACGTAGCCAAAAAAACCACAAGTCTTTCCTAAAACTTTAAAAATAGTCATTGTTGAATAATATGTAGGCTAATAACCTGATATCATAATCGTAACATTACAACATGAAACAAATGGATTTATCACATTCACAAATCACAACTAAAATTTAAAGTTAACTTTATTTTATTACATTACAATTTTTTTTTGGACTTTATGGCCTGGCATCTAGACCTTTAGGCCAATATTACATTACAATTATAATATTTTGGTAGTGAGTCACTACCAAAATATTATAATTCAATGAAATATATATATAATTTCAATGGTCACTACTAGTGACCATTGAAGTTGAACCAGAGAAGATCACCACAGTTAACTGTATACTAGAAGATCACAGTTGATCACAGTATAAAAAGATACTCCACAGAGTACATTCTATATTACAGACAAGATACTCTGTGACCACAGCTTCCTTATAAATCTACCGGCTACCTTATATCATACGTAGTATTGATTACAGCACTAAGTAGGCTGTGCTTATATCTATACATACCTTATATCTACCGGTTTACCACAGGCTATCTAGTAGAATCTAACCGAATCAGACGTACATCTCACGAACTATAATATAAACGGGCATATTCCACTCAAAGAGTATAATATAGTAACTGTCATATACAGGGAAAGAGAGCCCACTCGTGCGAAACCTATCAACCAAGGAGTACTAGCGCCGTCTGGTGTCGTTTCGCCACAATATTGTGAGAATGTTGCGTGCGTATAACACATGCACCTCTACATATACACCTCTGTTCATGGTAATTCATTAGCTTTATGTAGTAGGATTAATTTTCAATAACCAACTGTGAATGAAATATTTGAAACTTTTTTTTAAAGATAACTGCATAGTAACTAAACGCTTCAAATGTTTAATGTAACAGTTGGTTGTTAATAATTAATCCTATTACATAAAGTTTAATTCATAATTTGTAAATAGGATTAACTATGATATTTTTAACATGAATGTATTTAAACACAAATAATTGCTGTACATTACTCTATATTTTTTGAATTTAATGAAAATAAGAAATCAAAATAAAAGATCAAAATAAAGAAAAATAAAATAAAATAAAGAATCAAAATGCAGATGCGTTTCCACCCGTGAGGACTAAGATGGAATGCCTCTTTTCAAGTAAAAAGGGTCTTCGGTTCTCTACACTCACCATACGAAACACAGCAGTGTTAAACTGCTATTTTACGCTGGTATTCTGTAAGAGCGTGGTCCTTCCCAGGTCGAGCCGACCCATTCGTGCTACAACTATACTACTAATATAGCTGTAGCATGGCTCTACCACGTATAAAATTTGCGTATAACATGCGATTAATCGATAGTGCTTGCACTATCGATACTATCGATAGTCTGGTTAAACTATCGCCATCCTTATCGTAATTTTTGTCTGCAATAGATGTCTCAATTTAGTCTAAGGTCTAAGGTCGGAGAAATCCCTGTAAATAAGCTGTGTATGAATAGCTAATTAATATGTGTGACGCTGACGTAAGTCGCTATTTGTGTTACTGCCAGAACGGGCGGTTGATCTTGCGTTTTATAGTTTACTGATTTGTTTTGTATTTGACTTCATAATGAATCGAAAATTTATCCTGAAAATCAATCATTAATATGGAGTTATTTCTAGATAGTGGACAGTAATAGTCCGTTTGTAAAGTGTTACTTTTATAATTAGGAGTATAAGAATTCAGGAAATACGATCAATCTAAGAGATCACTTGAAAATAAAGCATGCCGATAAAATAGATAGGTTAGAATCGGAAGAGGGTAATCGTCTGAACCTATGGTCTGAACATAAAGTTCAAGATGAAGTGCAACCAAAAAATCTAGAATCTATTAAGAATTATTTTAACAGAAATCAGTTATAAGACACCAATTCAAAAGTTTAAAAAGAACTAGATACACTTTTCACGTAGATGGCCATTGGTACGCTGCCTTACAGAACTTCTGACCAAACACAAAAAATAAATTAGAATAGGCCCTTGTAACAACTAGTTATTTTAGTATTACCACAGACATGTAGACAAGCAACGCAATCGAAGTCATCCTAGCACTGACTTGTCACTTTATACATAACGGGAAATTACTTTCCATCCAGGCCATCATAACTCGGAAGATATGGCACATGTAAGTGTTGTATTCTAATTTTGCTGTTCTTTCGATGCTAGTCGAGGGTTTGAGATAAAGTTCTTAATATCATTTTTAGGTCATCAGCAACATACTAGAGGAATATTATAATCGCGTCAAGATAGTAACAATGGTGAGCGAGATTGCTTCAGATATGTAAAAAACTGCTGATATGTTAAAAATCCGTCATTCACCCTGTTTTGCTCATTGTATAAATTTACCAGTACAAGACTGTTTCAAAAAGGAATCACACACACACAAACACTCACGCCTATCACCCAGAGGGGTAGGCAGAGACTACGGACTTCCATTTGCACGATCCTGACACATCTCTCGCCTCCTTTACATCCATATATGTATATCTACGCATACACGCTCGTCGGTTAAGGGTACTCCTTATCTGGCCCATTTTTAATGTATCGCCGATTTGGTTGATAAACTTTCGTCTAGGGCAGGGGTCGGCAAACTTTTGAGTCGGAAGGGTTAAAAATTGCAATTTACAATATTCGAAGTTTTTAGAGCCATAATTTTTTTCTTGCCAACCAAAAATAGTATTTGCATAAATAAAGCTTTTTATAAAAAAACTAATCTATTTATATTCATAAGAAAAATATATATTTATTTATATATAAATAATGTTTTTCACAATAAATTAGAATCTAATTTCTATTCATCATAATCATCATCATTACAGCCTTTCATAAGTCCACTGCTCAACATAGGCCTCCCCCAAGGAATGCCACAAAGCACGGTCCTGAGCCACCTGCATCCATCGACTTCCTGCATGTCTTACCAGGTCGTCACTCCATCTCGTGGGGGGTCGCCCTACACTTCGCCTACCGGTACGAGGCTGCCACTTTAGAACCTTTCTTCCCCATCGTTTGTCGTTTCTTCGAGCTATATAGCCGGCCCACTGCCATTTCAGCTTACTAATCCGTTGGGCTATGTCCGGTTACTCTGGTTTTATTGCGGATATATTCATTTCTAAGTTTATCACGCAGAGAAACCCCGAGCATAGCCCTCTCCATAGCTCGCTGAGCGACCTTGAGCTTCCTCATACGGCCAGCAGTGAAGGACCACGTCTCAGATCCGTAAGTCATCACTGGCAACACGCACTGGTTGTACAATTTCGTTTTAAGGTTTTGAGGTATGTCTGACGAGAAGATGTGTCGTAGTTTCCCGAACGCTGCCCAGCCGAGTTGAATCCGTTGATTGACCTCTCGGTCGAAGTTGGACTTACCTAGTCGGACTATGTGTCCCAGGTAAACATCCCACAAAACTACTGGCATAGCTGTGACATGGACATGATCTATGTTTTGACCATGTTCATCCTAAGACCTATTCGTTGGGAGACACTATTGAGGTCATTGAGCATGGTGCTTAGGTCCTCCAGCGATTCTGCTATAAAGACTATATCGTCAGCAAATCGAAGGTGAGTGATGTACTCGCCATTGATGTTAATACCGTATCCTTTCCAATCCAGAAGCTTGAAAACGTCTTCCAATGCAGCGGTGAAGAGTTTCGGGGATATAACATCACCCTGTCTTACACCTCTCAGCAATTGGATAGGTTTCGTACTCTGGTTATGTACTCGGATAGCCATCGTAGCTTTACTGTACAAGCACTTCAGCACTTCGATATACCGACAGTCAACTTCGCACCGCTGAAGGGACTGCAGCACCGCCCAAAATTCGACGGAATCAAAGGCTTTCTCATAGTCCACATACGCCAGATATAGTGGCAAATTGTACTGTTTGGACTTCTGTACAATTTGCCGAAGGGTATGTATGTGGTCTATGGTGCTAAAGCCCATTCGGAAACCGGCTTGTTCGGGAGGCTGGAAGTCGTTAAGTCTGCGCGCGAGACGATTCGTAATGACTCTCGAAAACAGCACGTAGATGCGGCTCAGAAGGGAAATCAGTCTCTAGTTCTTCAAGAGAGCGTTGTCACCTTTTTTAAAGAACAAGACCACCGCACTTCTGCTCCACGCCTCTGGTGTAATGCCACCATGGAGGACGGAATTAAAGAGCCTCTGAAGGACTTCAAGTACCGGTCTTCCACCCACATTCAGAAGCTCCGCTGTAATTCCATCCTCGCCTGGGGTCTTGCCGTTTTTAAGGTGCTGGAGAGCCATTCTAATCTCGCTCAGACTGACGTCCGGGATATCTTCGGAATAGTGTCGGATAAGACTCGCTCTTGGATCGTTACTCACACTTGCGTGTGGCTCCAACGATGACGTATACAGCTGCCCATAGAACCTCTCAATCTCACTCAAAATCTCAGGTGCCCCGGAAACGATGCTGCCACACTCGGTCTTCAGCTTCGACAGTTGGCTCTTTCTGGCAGACAGATCTCTGGCAAAGACTTTGGAGCCTTGGTTCCGCTCGATCGCTTCTTCAATACAAGCTGTATTGAAGTTGCGTAAATCCCGCCGCATGCATTTGGAGATCTGTCTGTTCAGTTGCCTGTATGCTGTCAAATGTATTGAAGAATGTAGCTTCATCTCCCGTCTAAAAGCCATGAGATTGAGAGTGTGATCGGAGAGTTTTTGTGTTCTTCTGCGGCGGGTCTTGCAGAACTTAGCTCTGACCGCATGGACAGTTTCCACGAGCGTGTCATTCATATCGTCCACTTCATTGCAGTCTTCTAGGCACTGAAAACGGTTTTGTAGTTGTAGAGATTGAGAGTGTGATCGGAGAGTTTTTGTGTTCTTCTGCGGCGGGTCTTGCAGAACTTAGCTCCGACCGCATGGACAGTTTCCACGAGCTTGTCATTCATATCGTCCACTTCATTGCAGTCTTCTAGGCACTGAAAACGGTTTTGTAGCTCGAGCTAAAAGGTTTCGGGGCTTTGGAACAGAGCACGAGGGGGACGGAGCG